TGTTAATAATGACCAAATTTATAGTTCAAAGCGAAAGTGTCGCGCAAAGAGAAGTCAACCCTTTCGGTGGTCACGTCTGACAACTCGGAGGTGAACGCCTACATCGACCCGTTCGGTGCCAAAGAGAAACGGGCGCACCTGGACTTCAAACTAACCAAATACCAGTTGGACCACACGGGCGACATTGTCATCAATAGGGCCGACCGGAAGATCACGTGGGACTCCAAGACCAATAAGGCCGGCCAGCCCTACCTCACCGCCGAGGCCCAGTACCAACGTCAGGCCCGGTCCTACTTTATTGTCAAGAAAATCAAGGGACCGGACGCCGTGAGCAAGGTCGAGTACTTCCACGACAAGGGCGTGTATGGCGCTGTGCTCGACACGAGTAGATACAGTGCCGTATTGGAGGGCGAGAACCGGGAGGGCAAGCGCTTCGGCAAACTAGGCTTCGTCAATAAGATCGACAATTATGAACACAAATCGCAGTTTAATGTGACAAACGGTGTGCTGACCATCAAATCCATCAGCGATAAGGAGAAGGAGACGTTCACCAAACTGGACGCCACTATCGGCCGCCACATCGTCTCTGAGCTCAACCTAATTACGCCCAAACACAGCGCCCAGTTGAAGATCAATCCGCTGACTGAGCCCAAGACACTCACCTGGAAGTACGTGTCCGACCGGTACGACTCGTCGGCCACTGGCGAGTGGTCGCCCAAGAAGTACTTGAAACTCGACTCCGTGTCCACTCGTAAGGTGGACCCGCAGTCGACGATGAAAGTGAACGCCTACCTGACCCGCGAGGACGAGTCCAGGGTGCGGGTGACGGCCCCCAGACTCGACATAGACATCCAGAGGGTGAAGACGCCTAAACCTCATTATGTGTTCAACACGACTATGAATGGCTATAATGAGATCCAGGAGTTCGACAGCAACCCGGCCCTAACACCGGCACAGAATCTGGTGGTGGCGTTGGGCAAGTGGCTCAAGTCATACACCTCTAATAATTAGGGACTGCGAGGGGAACGCCATATTTTTTATTAATTATAATTATTTTAATTAATGTTTTTTTTTGCTGATCATAATTACCAAACCATATGACTGTAGATTGTAGTGACTTATTAATTGAATACATACTTATATTATTATTATATATATATTTTTAAAAGCATTTTCTTTTTCAGTGTGCAAACGAATAAAAAATTTAATTTTTAAATTTCTTGTCATTTCATTTATTTAAGTTTTATAATATAATACTTATTATCAGAGATCCTATCCGTTGTGAGCAACGAACGGTATTATACTATACTTATTATATAATACTTATTATATTATTATTAATAATCCGCTTTTAGAGAATGTATTAATAGAAATAGCTTTTTAATTTAATATTACCTTCTTAAAATATTATTATATAATATATTATTGCATTTGGTAATAATATAAATGTAAGAAATAGTTATTGTGGTTTAATATTTCATCACATGATTTACTGTAATAATAATTGCTTTTTAAATGTATTTTTAATTTTAAAGATTATTAAAAACATTTCTATAGATAATGTATAAAAAAATAAAATAATTTTAATATAAATTATCATATTATGGCAGAGACCAGGAAATATTTAATTTTCTTCAGAATATTCTGTAAAAATATTTATGTTATTCAAAAATAGTGTGCTATAATTTTCAATTACACAATTTCTATACCCATTTAGACATAATCCTGCATATTTTCTAATAGATATAAAGTCTTATATGAAAGAGATTACCGCTCCATTACCCACAAATTATGCAAATATATGAGACCTGTATGTATTTTTAGAAATCCAAATGAATTGTGTTCTCTTGCATAACTTCAAAGATTTAATATAATATATTACAAAATATATTACCAATGAAAAACACATGATTCCTTCCCCCTCGCAATCCTTGAAAATTATCTTATGATTTGAGTTTTTATTTATAGTCTGGTTTAGTTTAGTATAATATAGATATAGTAAAAAGTTTAATAAAAATCTCAATGATTTACAGTGATATTTAAAAAACAATTTTTCGTGTATTATGAAAAATATGTATCCATAAAAATAGAGAGTTTCATATAAATCCATAAAAATATGTAATATTTTGTTTAAAATTGCATTTTTCTATTTAATACAAAATATTTCTATTGAAAATCAAATTATTAATACCAAAAAATAACAAAAATATTGAGTAAAAAATACAATAGCAACAAACTCAATGTAAGGATTGACATGATTTTTGAAATATCAGATGATTTCTAGATAAGAGGTCTGATATGAGAGGCCTGAAGACGTTTCTGATGCCAGCGCTGAATAGATATTGTTATTGCCAACAGAATATTGAATCATTTTTACAAGTGACAAATTTTAAAAGGCTTAAATAAAAAATAGTTCTAAAGTCTAACTTCAGGGTTCACGTAGTGTTCAAGAATTGCCTAGTCGAGTTATTTAATTATTTTGACAAAAGTACCCAGGATAATATCATATGATAATTTTAATTTTAATTAATTTTAAGATAATTAATTTCAAATATTGTTTAATGAAACTATGTTTTCGATTAAACACCAAAATGTTTACATTTATTTCTAAGATAATTAGAATAAAAATTATTTATCAAAATATATACAAATATTGTCCCATGACATTGAAAATTTTTAAGTACACTTAGTGTATAAATAATATTTATCAAAGATTTATTAATTTAATTTTAAACTTATGAATAATTTATGTAATGTATTACTTGTAAACATAAAATTTAGAAAAAACTTGCATTGAACGTATTCATTTACCTTATTAATTTTTAAAAGTTATATAATATTCAAAATATGCATTTATCACTTTTATATATCACTATCATTAATTTAGACTATGCACAGGATTTAAAGTTAATATAAAATAATGGGTTTTATTATATTTTTAAATTAGTGCTATTAATTAACGATATTGGTAATTTTTAAAGTTGGTATTATAATATTATTACAGTAATTAATACAGTAATAAATTATTTTACACATATTTCCAAAAACAACTTTTTAATTTTAAAATATTATAATTTATCTATATAAAATGAATACTGAAATTATAATAACATCATTTAGTGCACATTGAAATAAACAAAATATTGAATTGAGTATAGTAAAATTATAATTCCCAAGTTTCTTTCCCAAAATATATATTATATCTATTATAAAAGTTATAATTGATTGTAGAAATATTTTAAGTAATAATTTAAATTATTACTTTAAAAAATCTTTTTCCAAAAAGTCTTAAGTTTCCCAAACGTGGCGGTCAATCCGGATCCAGGATTTATGCGTTGCTCATTTTGGGCGTAACTCTGAGCCTTTAACTGAATCTGTGTGGCCAACAACTTTCTAATAGCCGGCCCATTCCACTTCAGCCCGCATAATTTCTTGATAATTTGATCGATGTCCTCAACCGATATAGTACCCTGATCGCTTTTCTTCATAGCATCCAGAATTACGTTCTTTTCATATTTATACCTTTTCAGCATTTGCTCCAATTTGTCGATGGTCACTTTACTGCCACCTTGCTTTTCGTTCTCAATGATGACGTTCACGTAATCTTCGAACGCGTCGTTGAAAGGTGTCAGAGCGTTATCTTTCAGGAAACACGCAAACTTAGCCATGCACTTTGTAATCACATTATTCTCCTTGGTTAGCTCATCGATTTTGACCTGAATTTTTTCCATTTGATCTTGCTGAGCTACAGTCGCTTGTTGCGTTGTGGTGATGAGCTCGAATTTGCTCTCATCCCGAACTTTCGTGTTCACAATACGGGTCTCGTAATTGATGTGTAGGTGCGACTGATACGAGTGCTTACATTCGTAGCATATGTCCGATTTAGTGACCGTTGATGGCGTTGATAATACCTTTCCCTCTGCATTCAATTCATGCGGCTTAAAATTTTTGTGATCAGGGTAAAGTTGTGACGGATCGCTATAGATGTCTGGACCGACTCGTTCATACTTATTGAATGCCTTACAGTCGAGTAGACCCTTATTTCCCACGATATTGCCGTCGCTATGTACCAAGTAGCATGGTGAATGACAATTGGTTTTGTAGTGGGTCTTAATGTTTCCGTTAATGTTCTCCTGAGTGCAACAGTTTTTGTCACTGCAGACAGTCTTCGGGTGATCTAATGGATCGGTTTCGATGTCCACTGAAGGGATATACAGTTCCTTTTCGAGATCGTTAATATCACCCGTGAACTCATTGATCTTTTTTTTGTGTCGTTCGCATTGCTTGACGTTATCAGAGATATTCTTCGCGATGTCAGCCAATGGTTGAGTCAATAGAAGTATATTCTGTTTGGCGTTATTGAGGGATAGGGTGTCCATCACCTTATGGGGTGGCAGTGATAATATGCGCTCCAATAATCGATCGCATTCTTTGACTGATCTGGTTATGTTTTAAAATATTCAAATTTTATTTATTTAACCTAATTAAAAATATATTTATGGAAGCCTAATATTAAATAAGGGTTTTCATAATAACCTATTAAAAAGTTTAAACTTTTATAAAAAAAACTAATTTTATATTAGAGCCTCAGGGTTAATGAATTTACGACGTTATAATATTATATATACAGTACGTACCCCTGCCAACTCATTTCGTAATCACGTGTTAGCATGTCGTCAAACACTATATTATTAGGCGGTGCCGACGCCACTGCAAACCGAAAGGCCTCGTTGTCGAAGCAATAGATTGTTTTCTTGTCGTACTCTATGTCCACATACGGCGGGCTTTCTCTGATTTGGTCCAATAGCGATATCAATGCGGGTCCGGTATCTCCCGGTGCGTATTGTGTTGACCGGGCATTGGTAAAGAGGAACAGTATGTTATCGGCCGCAGATTTATTCAAGTGACTCAACAACTGTAACAAACAATACTTGAAGACTACGCCAACCCTCGCATTATTAGGCTTTAAGAGCACACAAATTGCGTTAATTTCGGGATAATTAGATATAAAGCCCAATATATTTTTCATATTATTGTTATCCTTATCAATACCCTTTGTGTCGGCAATACCCGGAGTGTCTATTATATTTATAGTAGCATTACCAATCTCAAATTTATAGCATTTGGGATATTGTTGGGCAGACTTTGTAGCATCTCCCGTATTTTCATTATCGTGAGTGCCTAACGATACAGTCCTAAGTCGATAGGTCTCGCGATCAGCCAATGTAAAATTAACCGGTATGAGGCATATTGGTTTCAATTTGGCCTGGTGCATATTTTCGTAATTAATATAATTGACGAATGCATTGATGAATGTGGACTTTCCCACACCAGACTCACCCAACAATAAGATTGTTAATGTTTTATTGCTCGTGGAGGCAATGCTAGCAAATGCTTTTGTAGGACTTTCCTGTGGTTTTTTATCAGAAAGTAATTGGGGATCAGTCCTAGGTTGGTCATCAGTCCTAGGTTGGTTTTCATTCCTAGGTTGGTTTTCAGTCCTAGGTTGGTTATCAATCTTAGGTGTTTGAGGCAATTTCATTTTATCGATAGAGATGTTCACTGGAAATGATGGTATGTCCGATAGATATTGTAGTAAGCGATTGCATTCTGTGACTGATCTATTAATTTAAATAAAATTAAAAATTATTTTAAAAATTAGTTATTTATTTATTTAAAATACATAATATACAAAATACAAAATACTATATCATACTTGGACCAAGACACTTCATGCTCGTGTTTGGTATCTGCGTTAAATACCATATTATTCGGGGAAACAGTAGCCACCAGGTGTCGGAAGGACTCGTTATCAAAGCAATACAATGAACTCTTGTTAAATTTTATATCAATACCACCTTGTTGGTCAATAACTTTACTTATGGCTGTTTTGGTAGCCAGTACAGTTTCTCCTGGGCTGCGAGCGTTTGGAAATACGAATAACAGATTATCAATTAATTTCGTATTTAATTGATTGATTAATTTTAGCAAATAATTATTAACAATGTATTCAATCCGAGTGTTACTAGGATTTAAGAGCACACAAATGGCATTAATAACCCGATAATTGCTTATAAAGTCCAATATAAAAGCGGCGTCAAAAGGGTTGTTAATCGTTGTATTAAATTAACTATGGGTTAGAATTGAGCTAGATTAAAACAAAATTTTTTGCAACTATTGTTTTT